GAAATTTGTGGTAAGTATTTGATACAGCTTTCCGTTTTCCTGGAGCCAACATGGCAGCATACATATAGTAGCACATAACTTGCTACCAGCGTGAGAATACACAGATTCTATTTTATAAGAAAGTGAAGAAGCTCCAACCTTTCCACCAAAATTAGCTATAGTGAGGACTACTGGGTCCAATAGTAGTGCTGAAGGAACATGCCATGACTGGTTTGACTGTCCTGCTTATCGTTTTTGTTAATGTCCCTGTATAAAATGCCCATGTTGGGATGCTGATGGTTGAATGTGCAGCATTTGTTCACAATGGCTTCAGCCCAGTTGCATAGTAGGCTCTTTAAATTATTATTATTATTATACAGGATTTATACAGCAGCGCCAACAGTTTGCTCAGCGCTTTACAATATAACGGGACACAATACAGCAACAATACAGTTCAATACAGGGCCCTGCTCCTTGGCGCTTACAATCTCGGAGGGAGGGGCTAGTGGTACAAAAGGTAGTAATTGTGGGGGATGGACTAGTAGCAAGAGTAGAAGATTCCATTATTAGCTGAGGGCAGGATAGGCTTCCCTGAAGAGATAGGTTTTCAGAGATCGCCTAAAAGTGAGCAGAGTAGGCGATAGTCTGATAAATTGAGTTAGAGAGTTTCAGAGGATGGGGGAAGCTCTGGAAAAGTCCTGGAGACGAGCATGGGAGGAGGAGACAAGGGAGCTAGAGAGCAGGAGGTCTTGCGAGGAGCGGAGAGGACGGTTTGGGTGATATTTAGAGACAAGATCATTGATGTAATTTGGGGCAGAGTTATAAATGGCTTTATATGTTATTGTTAATGTTTTGAATTTTATCCGTTGGGCAATGGGAAGCCAGTGGAGGGATTGGCAGAGAGGGGTGGCAGATACAGAACGGTTAGTAAGGTGGATGAGTCTGGCAGCAGCATTCATGATAGAGTGAAGAGGGGATAGCCTGCGATGAGGTAGGCCGATAAGGAGGGAGTTGCAATAGTCAAGGCGAGATATAACAAGGGAGTGAATAAGTTGCTTAGTGGTTTCCGTGGTTAAGAACGGGCGTATCTTGGAGATGTTGTGGAGGTGAAGTCTATTAGCTTTAGAAATAGCAAGGTGATTGTACGCTGATGCCTTCTACCCTTGTTGGCATCTAAGAAGCTTGCTATAGCTGTTCTGACTCCCTAAATGACGTCTCGAGAAAGGTGAACTGAGCTTTATGAAAAGTTTACAATAAAACAAAAAAAACACTGCTGTTTTTGATCTTCCTCCTCTGCAAGACACATGAGTGCCTCTAAACCAGTTTTGGATTTAAATGATGTCCTCCGGAGTGTGATGTCATCCACTGGAGCCTCTTACACTGTCAGCCGTTCCTCTGCATCCTCCTGTGTTACAGCGGAACCAGCATACTGAATTAATGGTGGTTCCCTGCTTTCCTGGTGTGAGTGAGTGGGAGGAATCCCCAGATGACAGCTTTGTTGACTGAGAATTAATGTGAAATGCGCTTCTTCTTCTATCATCTTATAAGTTTCTAGTTTTTGAAGAAAGTAAATGTCATTAATAGTATTTTTATAAATGCCAAGTCTTGAGCTACTAGCCAGGCCCTAAGAGTTAATCGCCACCAGTTGCCCCACCCCTAATTCTGCCCCTAAACACGCCCTTGTAAATGATCTCATGAAATTACACTGTTAAATGTTTTATGCAGAATAAAGTTACAAAAATAAATATTAACAACTTTAACAATATTAACCACTTGCCCTCCACAGGATTTACCCCCCTTCCTGACCAGGCCATTGTTTGCGATACTCCGCTGCGTTATTTTAACTTACAATTACATGGTCCTGCAATGTTGCATATAAATGAAATGTATGTCATTTTTTTTCCCACAAATAGAGCTTTCTTTCGGTAGTGTTTGATCACTTTTTGCGCTCTAAACAAACAAAGACCAACAATTTTGAAAAAAGAAAACAATATTTTTGACTTTTTGCTATAAAGCATGTCCAATAAAAATTAAAAAAAAAATCAAATTTCTTTCATACGTTTAGGCAAAATGTATTCTGCTTTACATGTCCTTGCTAAACAAAATCCCAATAAATGTATATTAATTGGTTTAAGTGAAAGTTATAGCGTCTACAAATGGTGGTATATATACTGGAATTTTTTTTTTTTTTATACTAGTAATGGCGGCAATTAGAGACTTATAGCGGGACTACAGCGGGCATTCTGATGCTGGGTGGGAACTGACTGCCACTGACATCCCCAGTGACACTAATACAGTGATCAGTGCTAATAAAAAGCACTGACACTGTACTAATGGCACTGGAAGGAAGGGGTTAACATATGGGGGTGATCAAAGGGTTAACAGTGTGCTGTGTGTGTTTTACATTGTGTGCTGTGCGGTGTTTTACTTCGGAGACATTCTGCTTTGTATCTCTCTGCTGTGCAGAGAGATACAAAGCAGCATGTCCATGCTGACAGGATGTCCATGCTGTTTACACACTGGTCTCTCCCCTGTCAGCTTTGGCGATGATCACCGAGTTTCAGCCAGGTGTCACTACTATGTGTCACTACGAGTTTCATGCGGGTCACTATGTACTGACATGTCCAGTGAGACCTCCTAAGCCCTCTCCTAGCTGGTTCCATATGATGCACCCACAAGGAACGTGTCAAACGCACCTCTCCTTCCTTCTTCACTTGCAACTTGCTGAAAGAACTATTTCTGTTTTAGCAATTATAGCCTCTGGTGCCTGTAGCTGTTTCATGGATTCTACCTTTTTGCTAATCAATACAATATCCCTCTCTGTACCAAGAAACAAAGATTTTCGGTTCATCTGGCTGATGGCTCTGGCATCAATTCTGGCTCATAACCTCACCAATGTTTCTGGTCATCCTTGGCATGCCCTGCCTAAGGGCGCACAACCCCATCCATCAACTGGCTCTCTGGGGAAATCCTCTTTTTCTTCCGAATACTGTCAGACTCATTGCATTAAAAAGGAACCATGCGCAGTGACTCCTCTTCTTAGCATCCATCCTGATTCAGAGATGATGAAACTTGTCCCTACTGCCTACCATGATTACTTGGATGTATTCAACAAAAAGAGTGCCAATGCTCTTAGCCTGCACCGGCCCTACGATTGTCCTATTGAACTCCTACCCGGTGCTGAGATCCCTTTTGGGCGAATTTACTGTTAGGAATGGACTGGCAGCAATGGTGGGACTCACCTGCCTTTTGATCTGCAGTACCAGGGCTGGCCAGCGGGTGCTCCCAGCAATCAGAGACTCAACCTTTCAGCCAGCTAACACACCTGGAACTGATGATGCTGGGGTATTTAAGGAGGGATGGCCAGACCCACAGACTCTGCCTTGGTGTTGTGTTTGTCCTGGGCCCTGTATCTGTCCTGCATCCTGTTTCTGTCCCTCTGCCCTGACCCTCTGATACTACGCTGCTTGTTACCTGTTTTGATCTCTGGCTTTGTGACCCTGACCATCCCCTCTGCCTGACCCTCTGTACTACGCTGCTTGCTACCTGCTGAACACTGGCCTGTGACCCCCCCGACCATTCTCTGCTTGCTCCCCCATGTACCCTACCTGCCCAATTGATAATTGACCTGGCCCTGCCTGACGACGCTTGCTTGTTGTTGTACTGTTATCTGTGGGTGGTTTGGTTTGGTTTGTTTGCACTGTATTAAGTTTAGTATTGCACTGCGTTTATGTTTGTATGGTTAGTGTTAATAAATATGTATTGTTTATCACATATCTGAAGTCTGCGTTTCCCCCTGCATCAGTCACACACCACCCCTGGTCAACTACCTGGGAGCCCTGACAATTACACCAAGGCCAATCCTGACCAGAAGTGGTGCTGCACAGGGAAGCCATCTTGGCTTGTTGATGGGTAAGGATGGATCTTGATGAGGAGGTTTGAATATTTATATATCTGCTAGTGTTTGATGACAGGGAGTATGCTTATATCAAAACTCTGAAGGAGTATACCCGGGATGAACTGCTAGAATGTATACGGCTCGCTCATGTTCTAGTAGATCAGGGCACAGAGTTCTCTGAGGTGCAGCCATTGATTGAGGTTTGTGCTGAGTTGGTTTCATCTGGTTTCCCCCGAATGCAGGGATGAATTTTTGCCACCATTTAGTGCAGACCAGGTAGAGTCCCTTGCTGGTGTGGTTTATTAGAGGGATGATGTGGGGTTACTTTCTGGAGCGTTATTCCACATGTTCACACACAGACACTAAGAGGATTGTGTATAAACGCAGTGCAGTCATTGACCAGACAGGCTTTGTGTAAGCTCAGCTTTGTTCAACCCCATACTGCAGACATGGACAGATTTGTTGCACACCCTCAGCCTCAGTCCAGCTTACAAAGACCCAGTCCTGCTTCTAATCTATTTCCCTCAAAGCTCTATTCCTGTCCTGCATTCCCAACAGCTCCTCCTGCCCTGCTATTCTACCGCATGTCAGTACCCTGTTCCCACGCTCGCTGCACCTATCCTGCCTTTAAACCCTGTAAAAAAGAGCCCTCTGTAGCAACCGCTCCCTCTCCTGTGTTCCATCCTCCAGTTCTTCTCTGTCTCCAGCTGCTCCATTCGTTTGCAGACCTGCGTTTACTTGCAGTGCTCCAGTATTAAAAACCAGAAAAAAAGCGAAGGAAATTCTTTCCAACCAATACCATCCTGCCAGTATCCAAACCGGTGAGCCTGCCTTCCGTGGTTCAGCCTGAAGCCTCTACTCGGCCTGATGCCCTCTACTCGGCCTGCCTGCCTCTACTCGGCCTGAAGCCTCTACTCGGCCTGATGCCTCTCTACTCGGCCTGATGCCTCTCTTCGGCCCTGATGCCTCTCTTCGGCCTGATGCCTCTCTTCGGCCTGATTGCCTCTACTTTCGGCGCCTTGATGCCTCTACTCGGCCTGATGCCTCTAACTACTCGGCCCTGAAGCCTCTACTCGGCCTTGAAGCTACCTATCTACTTCGGCCTGAAGCCTCTACTTACGGCCTGAAGCCTCTACTCCGCCTGAAGCCTCTACTCAGCCGGGACGCCGGCATTCAGCCTGATGCCTCTACCCAGCATGATGAACTGATCCAGCCTGACGATCCTATTAGGCCAGTTGACTCGATGCCCGCTGTTGATCCAGATGATCCGGTACCCTGATCCGGTGCCCGCTGTCGAGCCAAATGACCTGATGGCCTGGTGACCCAGTGCCCGCTGTCATACCTGGTGACCCGATGCCCGCTGTTCGAGCCAGACAATCCGGTACCTGATGACCCGGTGCTCACTGTCGTGCCTGTTGACTCGGAGCCCACTGCCTTGCCAGATGACGCGGTGCCCGCTGTCGAGCCAAATGACCTGATGCCTGGTGACCCGATGCCCGCTGTCCAGCCAGAACGATCCAATGTCTGACCCAGTGCCAGCGGTCATCCCAGTTGACTCGGAGCCCACGGTTGTGCCTGGTGACTCGGTGCCCGCGTCACCCGCCCCCCGCCTGGGGGCCTGAGATCTGTCGTTCCCGCCTGGGGGTCCGGCGCCCGCCACTACCTCCTCTTCCGCCAGGGGTCCGGAGACCTGATCGCTCCACCGCCTGAGGGTCCCGCCGCTCCGCTTGAGGGCCCGAGACCTGTCGCTCCCCTGCCTGGGGCCGTCGCGGTGGTCCGGCGCCTCGCCGCGCCCGCCGCCGCTTGAGGGCCCGAGACCTGTCGCTCCTCCTGGGGGTCCGGCGCCCGCCGCATCCGAGATTCCGAACCGCCGCTGAGGGCCCGAGACCTGTCGCACGCGCCTGGGGGTCCGGCGCCCGCCCCGGGGGAGCTCCGCCTGAGGGCCCGAGACCTGTCGCTGCCGCCAATGGGGGTCCGGGGGGGGCGCACCGCCGCTCCGCCTGAGGGCCCGAGACCTGTCGCTCCGCCTGGGGGGAGGGGGGCGCCCGCCGCTCCGCCTGAGGGCTCGAGACCTGTCGCTCCGGGGCCTGGGGGTCCGGCGCCCGCCGCTCCGCCTGAGGGCCCGAGACCTGTCGCTCCATCTGGGGGTCCGGCGCCCGCCACTCTTTTTTTTTTTTTTTTTTTTTTTTTTGCGCCTGTTCGTTTTTTACTCCGCCTGAGGGCCCGAGACCTGTCGCTCCGCCTGGGGGTCCGGCGCCCCGCCGCTCCGCCTGGGGGCACGATGCCTGTCGCCACCGCCTGGGGGCCCGATGCCTGTCGCCCCGCCGCCTGGGGGCCGATGCCTGTCGCCCCGCCTGGGGGGCCCGGCGCCCCCGCGCCCCGCCCCGGGGGCCCGGCGCCGCGCGCCCCGCCCGGGGCCCGACGCCAGTCGCTCCGCCCGGGGGGCCCGGAACCGACGCCACGCGCTCCGCCCGGGGGGCCCGGTGCCTGCTTGCTCCGCCCGGGGGCCCGGTGCCTGTCGCCTCCCGGGGGTCCGGTGCCTGTCGGCCCGGGGGCCGCTGTGCCTGTCGCCCCGCCCCAGCCCGTGGGCCCGGTGCCTGTCGCCCCGCCCGGGGGCCCGGTGCCTGTCGCCCCGCCCGGGGGCCCGGTGCCTGCTGCCCCGCCCGGGGGCCCGGTCGCCCCGCCCGGGGGCCCGGTGCCTGCTGCTCCGCCCGGGGGCCCGGTGCCTGCTGCTCCGCCCGGGGGCCGGTGCCTGCTGCTCCGCCCCGGGGCCCGGTGCCTGCTGCTGCTCATGTCTCCGCCCGGGAGGGCCCCTGCTGCCGGGGGTCCTGCTGCCTGCTCTTCGCCTGGTAATCCGATGTGCCTCTGCCCGGAGTCCTGCCCGATGTTGCCTCTGCCCCGGAGTCCTGCCCCGATGTGCCTCTGCCCGGAAGTCCTGCCCCGATGTGCCTCTGCCCGGAGTCCTGCCCGATGTGCCTCTGCCCGGAGTCCTGCCCGATGTGCCTCTGCCCGATGTGCCTCTGCTCGATGTGCCTCTGCCCGGAGTCCAGCCCGGTGTGCCTCTGCCCGGAGTCCAGCCCGGTGTGCCGCTGCCCGGAGTCCTGCCCGGTGTGCCAGTCTTTGATATCCCCGCCAGTTACCAGACCCGGGCGGTGGAACATTTTGCCCAGCTAGGACTGTTTGGAGCGTCCTGAGGGCCGCTCCTTGGGGGGGGGGGGTACTGTTAGGAATAATTGGACTGGCCAGCAATGGTGGGACTCACCTGCCTTTTGATCTGCAAGTACCAGGGCTGGCCAGCGGGTGCTCCCCAGCAATCAGAGACTCAACCTTTTCCAGCCAGCTAACACCTGGAACTGATGATGCTGGGGTATTTAAGGGATGGCCAGACCCACAGACTCTGCCTTGGTGTTGTGTTTGTCCTGGGCCCTGTATCTGTCCTGCATCCTGTTTCTGTCCCTCTGCCTGACCCTCTTGTACTACGCTGCTTGTTACCTGTTTTTGATCTCTGGCTTGTGACCCTGACCATCCACACTGCCTGACCCTCTGTACTACGCTGCTTGCTACCCTGCTGAACCTGGCCTGTGACCCCGACCATTCTCTGCTTGCTCCCCCTGTACCTACCTGCCCAATTGATATTGACCCGGCCTGCCTGACGACGCTTGCTTGTATGTACTGTTATCTGTGGGTGGTTTGGTTTGGTTTGTTTGCACTGTATTATGTTTAGTATTGCACTGCGTTTATGTTTGTATGGTTAGTGTTAATAAATTGTATTGTTTATCACATATCTGAAGTCTGCGTTTCCCTGCATCAGTCACACACCTCTGGTCATAACCTGGGAGCCCTGACATTTACCCTCTCTCCGAATTGGAACTAGAGGTCCTCTGGAATTACATAGATGAAAGCCTGGAAAAAGGGTTTTTATTTGGCCCTCTACATCACCAGCGGGAGCTGGCATCTTCTTTCTCGAAAAGAGAGATCATACTCTTAGACCATGTGTGGACTATCGTGATCTAAATAAGATAACAGTCAAGAACCGCTATCCTCTTCCTCTGATTCCTGAATTGAACCAAAGGTTACGAGGGGCATGTGTCTTTTTCAAAACTAGATCTGAGAGGTGCATACAATTTAGTCAGAATTCGTGAAGGGGATGAATGGAAGACGGCCTTTTGAACACGCTTTGGGCACTTCGAATACCTGGTCTTGCCATTTGGCCTTTGTAATGCCCCCAGCAACATTCCAACATTTTGTTAATGATATATTCCGGGACTATCTTGATTTATTTATCATTGTCTATTTGGATGACATCTTAGTCTTCTCAAGCTCAATAGAACGACACTGGGACCATGTGAAGAAGAAGACTGGGTAGGTTACGCCAACATCACCTCTATGCCAAAGCTGAAAAGTGCAAATTTGAGAAACAGACCATTCAGTTACTCGGACTTGTGATTACTCCCGATGGCATTGCTATGGATCCTCAAAAAGAGACCTCTGTATTAGAGTGGCCCATCCCAGGAGACAGGAAAGCGGTACAACGCTTCGTGGGATTTGCTCATTTCTATAGGAAATTCATTAAGAACTTTTTCGGTATCATTGCACCAGTCCAATGCAGTTAACCAGGCAACATGTTGCTTTCAAATGGACTCCCGAGGCTCAAGCAGCTTTTGAACAACTAAAGACCTTATTCATCTCTGCTCCCTATCTTAAAGCACCCAGATCCTGCTTTAGCTTATGTTCTCGAAGTAGACGCTTCTGAAAATGCTGTTGGAGCTATATTGTCTCAACGAAAAGGACTCAAGTCCCTCCTTCACCCTGTTGCCTTCTTCTCTAGAAATGTAAGCTCCCCTGAAAGGAACTATGACGTAGGAGACAGGGAGCTGTTAGCCATCAAGGTGGCCCTCGAGGAATGGCACTACTTGCTGGAGGAAGCTTCACACCCTATCCTCATTTTTACGGATCACAAAAATCTGGAATACTTTAGAACTGCAAAATGTCTAAGGCCACTGCAGGCAACATGGGCACTTTTCTTCTCTCGCTTTGTGTTTCACTTGACATACCGTCCATGATCAAAGAACGGCAAACCCGATGCACTCTCACGCATGTTTCATGACCCAATAGTACCATCTGAGCCTGACATGATCCTGCCAGCTAAAAACTTTTTACTCCTGCAAGCAGACCTTGTATCACAAATAAAGGAAGCGGTTGATGATCATCCACCCCCCCCCCCCCCCCCCCCCCCCCCCCCCCCACCCCTTGGAAATGCATCTTCAGCTAAGGGACGGCCTGTATCTGCATAAAGAAAACAGATTTATATACCGGAACAACTCAGGACTCTCATTCTTAAAAGATGCCATGACCATCCTTTAGCGGGTTACTTCGGGATCCACAAGACCTCAAATTTGGTCTCCCGTTCCTTCTGGTAGCCAAACTTAATGAAAGATTGTAAAAATTACGTTCGATCTTGCTCGGTATGCCTCCGAAACAAGTCTGATAGAGCCAAAACCTGGGGCCTATTAGAATCGCTTCCAGTACCTGAAAAGCCATGGAGTATGATTTCTCTGGACTTTATTGTAGAGCTTCCCCCATCTGAAGGGTTCACCACCATCTTTGTTGTGGTTGATCGTCTGTCAAAAATGGCCCATTTCATACCCCTGAAAGGGACTCCTTCTGCTGCTGAGACTGCTTTCTGCTTTCATTAAAGAGATTGTGAGGTTACATGGTATTCCCAGCAATATCGTAACCGATCAGGGAGTGCAGTTCACCTCTAAGTTCTGGAAAGCTCTGTGTGAGGCACTAGAGATCAAACTTCGCTTTTCTTCTGCGTATCATCCACAAACGAATGGGCAAACTGAGAGGACAAACCAGACCCTTGACCAATATTTTATGATGTTTCTCTTCTTACTCACAGGATGACTGGGTATCTCTCCTTCCACTGGCAGAATTTGCATATAACAATTCCATCCACTCTGCTACCAAACAGTCCCCTTTTTATGCCAACTATGGATACCATCCTTCCTTCCTCCCTGAAATGCCGGGGAACTCGCTGTCCTGGCGGTACAAGAAAGGTTGGATTTCCTCAGTAGGAATGGTCAAATATTCCGAGAAACTATTTTGGAGGCTCAGGCAAATAACAAGAGATTTTTTGACAGAAAAAGAAGGGGGAATCTGAATCTGAAATCAGGAGATAAGGTTTGGCTATCCACAACAAACTTGAAATTGAGCTTCAAAGAAGCTTGGTCCAAGGTACCTGGGACCATTTACAATCAAAAGAAAGATTAATCCTGTAGCTTTTGAATTAATGTTACCAAAGAATATGAAGATCCATCCAGTATTCCATGTCTCTTTATTAAAACCAACAGTCCCAAGTCTATTTCCGGATCGAGGTCCAGAATCTCTTGCTCCACTGCTTGTCGAAGGTAATGAGGAATATGAAGTAGAAGCCTGGACTGTAGAAAGAAGGGTGGTCAGACCCAGTTCCTCATCAAATGGAAAGGCTACGGACCAGAGGATAATTCCTGGGAGCTATCCGCTAATGTCCATGCTCCACGGTTAGTGCAAGCTTACCTTCATGTTCATCCTGAAAAAAAGCTTTAGTAGGCA